AGGCAGTGCGTTATGGATCGATTGAAATCCGCACCTGGGATCTCTCCACGGGATTTGCGGGCGACGAAATCTTCCGCACGGCGCCAAAAGTCGAACCCGCCCCATGCGCCGAGCTCCCAGTCATTTTCGAACTGCGTACAGGAGGTCATGCAGAACCGTGGGTCTGTGATCTCCAACGTTCCCTCCACGCCGGGCCCGTCCGCTGTCCAGACGACAACCAATAGCTGGAGAAGCGAGCAAGTATCAAGCGCTTTTCTGAGGAGATTAGGCGAGTAGTGGTCGGAGATCGAGAGGTGTGTCAGGCTCGGGAGCATCGCGAACACTGGCCACACGGATTCCGGGATGTCGCTGAAGATGTCCAGATGCGTGAGGTGCGCGAACGGAAGCTCCTCAATGGGGGGCAGTTTAAACTGGTGATGACCACCAAAGAGCTCGAAGAGGTTGATTGAGAGGCGCTGCAGGTTTGTGAGGTGACGCATGTCGGCGAGGAGTCCGGGGTACGTGTCTCCAGTCCACAGTGCGAGGTCACAGATATTTGTGCACGTCGAAAGAATGTACGTCACGTCGCTCCGCTGGACGCCGCTGGAGAGGGCAAGATGATGGACGTGTTCGCGGAGGAATTCGGGCGGTTTGGACTGCATCATCTGCAGCACCCACTCCCCACTTCCGCTCGAGAGCACAACTTGGTATAGAAGAGGCTCAATCCTATGAGAGAAGCAAGCTTTAAGATTCTGCGAGGGATTTAGGTCGAGGATTACCACACGCATACTCTTCTTGCAACTAGAATTAATGTTGTGATCGTCTCCGGATATTGCCAAGCTGTGATCTCGAAGATGACACGCTCTAACTCGATTGGAAGATTGTTAAGGGCGGTTTCTTCCATCCTCAGCTTGGAGCCTCGAGTCCTGTCCGTATACGCGATTGCAGGTGATCGCGGGATGAAAAAGAGAGGTGGCAGTGTCACAACAGAATCAATGATGGGAACGTCACGCCAAAGCTGTGCAGCCTCGGCCAAGCCTCGGGGCATCTTTATCCTACGACATTCATGAAACTGGGCAAAAAAACACGATGAGGCAGTTCCCATTCGGTCTACTCTTCCGTTTTGATGACATCTTCCCCCTTTATCGCGCTGTCCTCTTCTGTCTTGACTGCACTGTCCTTATCAGAGTCCTTGCGACGGCGTTTGGCGGCCTTCGGAAGTTTAGCTTGTAGACCGAAAGCATTATAATACCAAGTTTGGACTTACCGGTTTCGCCTTTCCCGGGCTAGCCTTGCTTGCTTTTCTTTTAGAAGCCGGTACTGGCGGAGCGTCCGACTCTGGGTCTGACTCCGAGACGTCGTGTTCTTCCCCTTCGCTTGCAATTGTGTCATCCAGCCCCAGGAGCGTACGAACCTGGCTTTGATTTGCCACGGGCTGTTCCTTCACCCATTTCTCGGCAATCGCACGATCTGCTGAATCGACGTGGGCCTCCTGTATATGCCTGTTGACTGCTTTCTGGTTCCCGAAGGGAAACAGCAACGCAGAGTATTCCGACCCGGTCTCGAGGTCGCCTCCGTCCTTGTAGTGTGCCGCTATCGCCTTGCATATCTCGTTCGTGCTTCTGCTGGATCCTGGGCGAACAAAATCCAAGTGAGACGCGCAGAAAGTAGTCACCGGAAAGCTCACATACCAGCAACCATCGTCTTCGAAACCTCCTTGTAGCGGACTCGGCATATCGCTCGCTCCTTTGCATTGAGTCGGACTGTCTTTTTCGCCATGGCGTTGTGTGCGCTGGTTGCAGAAGATAATGGCCAAGCCCTTATCAACAAACACGTGGCCCGCTAATCAGAAATCGCTCTCAGCAAAACTGCCGGACCAACATGGAGGCAATCGCGATACCATGGGTCGATTACTGGCGGGCAAAATATTCGCAATTCATAATTTTACGCCCTCGAAATCGGACTTCGTCTGAGTGCAAGACCAAAAGGAACCATGTTCACAATCCTACACATTCCCAGTGATCCCGACGGGTTTGGTACCCATCATGACCACCCACCCAGAGTCCATCCTCGAGCGTCCAGTTGTTCTGAGCAGCAAATCCAACGACGCCCAAATAGGGAATTCGCCGGGACAGCTCCACGACCGCGCGACGTTGTTGGGGGACAGTGAACGGTGCAAATTGGGGATCGAGCTGTCGAATGGAGAGGACCTTCAGGTCCGGAGGGAAATCCGAGCCATAGCCCGTGCACAGCCAATCCATCAGGGCCTAATTCCCAATGAATACGAAGGAGAGGGAAAGAATCGATGCGATCACGCACAGCGAAGGAGGTCGGTGGGCGGTCAGGGCAGCCCTTTGAGTTTAGCACAATTTTGGGTGCGATAGGAGAGTTCTCGGAACTAGGGACGCGGATAGACACGTAGTCTACGAAAAATTAGCGTTAATTGTACAACTAGGCGACCATGAGCACGCACCAACGGTGATGGTTTCATGCGACACAAACTGCTCCTCTCCGTCCGAGTCATAATCATCGCATTGCTCGCAGAAGTCGAGAGCATCGTTTACAGTGTCAGAAGGTTCGTCATCAGCAGACATAGGTTCATATTCCCGTGGCTCCCAAATATCGATGTTCAACTCGAGCAAACGCGGGAACAGGTTGCTGATAGTGAAGAACAAGGAAATATCGGGTGGGATTGGCGGAAGCGTAAGGGACGTCAAGGGTACGGAGGACTGTGCGATTCTGTGTAGCACCAACGTGATATCGCGCACTGGATCCGCCGGTCGAGCACCACTCGGGTATGTGAGTTCAATTGTGTCGACGGGACGGTTGCAGACGAACGGCTCCACCAGAGAGATGGGGCCGCAGAACGAGCTGAGGTGCGGGATTGCGGACGGCGGGAGGTTCTGGGGGATGGACGTGGGTGCGGAGAGTATGGCTATGTGTCTGAGGCACGGGCAGTCAAGCAGGAAGGCGAAGAATCGTGGTACTATTTCTGCAGTCAGTGAGATCTGCAGGTCGACCAGCTGGTGAAACGCCTCTCCAGGAGCGAAGGCGTAAAGAACGGAATCCCCGTCCGGAGAATTTTGCAGACGTAACGCCTGCAGGGAGCGGGGGGAAAGGATAGGCAGCGGATAATTAATTCCTGTCTGCTCGCTGAGCGCACCGGAGATGGATAGACGCTTCAGAGGCAGGAGGGGTGCATTACGCCAGGCGATGTCGCAGTCCGCGAGTGTCAACTCGACCAGTTTCGGCAACTCGCACAATGCCTGTCGGAGATCTACTCCGATGGTTAGGTTGCTGAGGTGCAGCGCGCACAATTGATGGTAGCGGTACAGCGTCGTGGAGAATTCCCGGACTGCGGAGAGATATCTTCGATTCAAGTCCTCAATATCCTTGGCTTTTGGAAACATCCACGACACGTCGAGCTCGAAGCTACCGAGGAAGGCTAAATGCTGAACAGAAGAAATATGTCGGCTCTCCCGGACGTGCTGGAGTCGAAGACTGGATGTGACAATGCGGTCCAGAACGTGCATCCAGTTGAGTGGGGTGATATTGTCGAAGTATGGAGCGCGGAATATCTGTTTAAAGAAGAGGAGCCGCTGGCAAATATCGCGAAATAGGCGGCACACTAATGTTAGGCGCCGGAGGTGACGGTTCTGACAGTGGCCCCAGCATCGTTCCCAGACTTCGACTGGGAGTTTGGTTATCCATGGCGCACCGACGTGGTGGGCGATCTGAATAGGAACGCAAGTGTCAGTCCTCAGAGTTCAAGCGACGTTAAAACTTAAAAGGCCCTTCCTGTGTTGAATGGCAATTGTGGTTCAGCGAGGCTCCTAGGTGTGCGGAGGGCATGATAAAAAAAGGGAGATTTGGGGGTGAAGTGAAAAATCGACCCTCTATAAGCGCCCATGTTCTTTGTCTGCGCTTGTCGTTACGTCTCGAAGACGAGGACAAAGACAAAGACAAAGAACTCTTGCCATCAAAAGATGCGCCCGTCCAAAGACAATAGAGGCAGTGCCAGGGAGATGAACTGCATGCGTTACATCCTTATCTCAGTGCTTGTTGTACCACCCCAGACTCGATTGTTCCGAAAAGATCTGTGGCAGGCTGAATGTTGAGGCCGGGAGACCTTCAGTGATCCCTCCAGGTCTGTGCCCGAGTCCCAGAGCTTACAGGGTAAACACAACAAGCCGATTCAATTTTTCCGCTAGCTGAACGATGGCGAGACTTGGACGGATGGATTGGGCATGTCGACACGGGCTTGGACACGGGTGAGAGAGGAAGGCGACACGTGATTGTACGCGAGGAAGAACTCAACAACCAAGCAGGGCCAAATACTCCGGTTATTCGGACAGAATAACCGCCACTTCTCCGAGGAGCTATGAATCAAGCACACGCTTATAAAATATATCCTCCCCGGGCGGCAATTTTCTTGGTATTTGGTTTGAATCCCCTCTGGCTAACAGCACTTTAGAGTTTGCCTGGAGGTCTCATATTAGTTGCGGTGTGTAGGTACAGCACGCCTCTGTAGATTACAGTGATAACCTTGGATCAATGTCGTACGCATAGATTTCACAAGGAGTCGTGGGTTCGAATCCCACCCGAGGCATAGACTTGATGACATGTCATTTTTTTTCTTCTACTTTGCATGACCTTGTCATTGAGAAGCCAACCATTTGACAGGTAAGTAAATTAAGTCCGCGGGTTTTTAATAAGTTTGTGCCGAACCGTGTTTTTGCCCCCAACAGCCTGACATGGGTTCTTCAGTAAAAAAGGATACCTCCATAAATTGGACAGGAAAATCCCCTCCAATTCCAAGTGGTGGGCCATTCGAGTAACATTTCTCTAACCGGCGGGTTTGCGGAGGTGAAGTGTTTGGGGTATAGCTTTTAGACCACAGCCTCTGTCAGGTTTCCTGATTGAACCCAGATTCATGCACCTGGAAATTGATTCCGTTTATCTTCTACAGTCTATCTGCTTGAAGTGTACTCACTTCGAATGGTGATGGGGAGGGTATAGCAGCTTTCGTGGATTAGAGTGTCAAATCACCTTGAAGCTGTTTCCAATTCACATCCCTTCTCAAGGAGACATGGGTTCAAATCCCATCGGAGGCATGGTTTGTTGAAGGAGGTTTTTTCTTTTCTTTCTGTGCTGTGTTGGAGATTTATAGCATTGAGGTATAGAAATCTTAATCATCAAGGAAAGGCTTTTTCTCTTCTACTTACAGTACCTCCGAGACTCGGCTGCATGCTCTGAGCATTCTAATATATTAGAGTCCTTGAAGCTGTTACCAGCTGGGTGCGGATTCCTTCTGTCAGTTCTAGGGAAGGTTAGGAGGGTATAGCAGCCTCCGTGGATTGGTGTGGTAAATCCCTTGGAGCTGTAACCACCCTGGTGCAGATTCCTTCTCAAGGAGCTGTCTGTGGGTTCGAATCCCACCGGGGCCATGACAGGTGATTATCCTTGACCTTTTTGTTGTCTTTGCTCAGGTTTCAAACTCTCAGAAAATTCCGGAAGAGACCTCAGTTAAAGGCATCTGTGTCTGAGAATCCAGCCTTTAATTGTTCCTATCAGGCATTTTCGATTTTTCCGGCTCATTCATTCTTTTGCCAGTGCCCCATCCGGGAGAGAGCTCCAGATGGCAAACATCTAGTGGTGTTAAAATAGCCTCTGTAGATTAAATTGGTAAATTACCTCGAACTTGTAACACCGAATGTTGTGTTCCATGTGAGGAGATGTGGGTTCAAATCCCACCCGAGGCATACACCAGTTGTACGTCAAAAAATTATTCACCTTGTGCACTGGTTCAAATCCAACTAGGCATGGATCATGACACCATAGCTTTTTCTCTTCTCTTTGTTTAATTGGGAGATACACAGAGTTGAGTGATCTACATCATTTCAGCCAGTAGATCTCGCTTCAATAATTCTGCAGAACAATCCTCTGGTCTTGCAGGTTCAACCAAGGTTCCACAGATCATGTATCCTAACCTATAGTCCTCTCGGATATCTGCTCATGCTCCTTTGGTGCTGAGATGTGAGCCTCCATAGATTAGAGTGATAAATCACCTCAAAAGGTTACTGTCCCTGATCTGTTTGAGGAGACACAATTGAGCTGTTCTCTAGAGTTGGATGGATATAAGGAGCTCTCGTCTCCTCGCTACTTGGGTATTCCACTCACCTGTAGGGGTGGTAAGGAGGGTATATCAGCCTCTGTAGATTAGCGTGGTAAATCACCTTGCAACTGTGAAAGTTGGAATCAAAGTAGCATGACGTCTCCCAATGGACCTATATGATATTAACTGGTCACAATGCCAGGGTGATCTACCGTTAATCTACGGAGGCTATCCTCCCCGGTGACATTATGACTATGTTAGTACCAAACTGGAGGAGAGGAGTAAATAAATACGTAGTTCTCCTAAACAGAAACATATATTCTGCCTGAACTGCCAAAAAAAAAACTGAGAATCACCACTGCCTCCCAAAAAAAAGCCGAATCAAAAAAAGAAAAGAAAAACCTGCTTCCCAAACGTGTATGCCTCCGGTGGGATTCGAACCCACGTCTCCCCGCGGATTTTCTCATACTGGTTCACAAGGTCAGGGCGATCTACCGCTAGTCCACAGAGGCTGCGCCATTACTTATATACAATTGATATGCATGCAGATCACAGGTCCATCGAAGATTTCCGTTCAGTAGAAACAGCCTAGTGCTATTAGTGAATGGCATCGAAGCCCACGAGGACCTTCGACAAAGAAAACCCACTCAAAAATAAAGAATTACAAAAGAGCCAGAAGAAAAAAGTATGGATTTTATATCATGCCTCCGGCGGGGTTCGAACCCACGTCTCCCTGCAAGGCTTTCGATATCTGGGCTATATAACGCCAGGGTGATCTTCCGCTAATCCACGGAGGCTTGCTAAGTGCATTCTACCAACACCAGTTCTACTACAACAATTCTCATCACATGGCCTGAACTGAAAGGCGATGGGGATGGCCAAGAAAGACAAAAAGGAAAGGTCAGAAAGAGAAATGCCTCTGGTGGGATTCGAACCCACATCCCCTCACTAAAGGGCTATGCAGTGTCCACAGATCTGAGGTGACCTACCATTCATCCACAGAGGCTGTATAGTCTTGTGCAAGCATGAGGTATATGTAAGTAAGAGGTAATGTATGATGCAAGTGGTTGCGAAACTACCACCGTTCCAGAAGACAGAAAACAGCGAAGAAAAAGAATGAAAAAACCTGTGTTATGCATGGCTACGCCTCTGGCGGGGTTCAAACCCACGTCTCCCCGGAGAACTAGATTGGTATGCGGACAATAGAACAGGGTGATCTACCGTTGATCTACGGAGGCCATAGGTCAAACGTGAACTTAAACATTGAGTCCTCGAGAAAAAGGAAAGCAGAAAAAACAGAGTTATCATGCCTCCGGCGAGACTCGAACCCACGTCCCGGGTTCGAGTCCCACCGGAGGCCTAAGTTTTGTGCCATGATTTTTCCTTTTTTTCTCTTCTTCTTTTTTCTTTCTTTTTTCATTCGGTTTTCTTCAGGAGGGATAGCGGTGGTGCACGTGAAGGCACGCTGATGATTTTCGTCTTCCCCATCAGCTCTTCTCGGGCATGCACGCTTTGTCGAAGGTCCTCGTGGAGCATTGATAGTATACCACGAACGGAAATCTTTCGGTAGACCTGTGATCCTTGGGGCACTTTACATGCATGCATATGTAGCCTGTGCAGCCTCCGTGGATTGGCGGTAGATCACCCTGGCGTTGTTTCCAGTTTGCAAACTCCAAGTTCAGAGGGAGACGGTGGGTTCGAGTCCCGCCGGAGGCATACATCTTTTACTCTTAGATCTTTTTTGTCTATTTGCGGTATTCAGCCCAGGCCATGGCCATGTGGGCAGTGTGGGTGCAAGCAGGCAAGGAGGCCTCCGTGGATTAGCGGTAAATCGCCCTGGCTTTGTTCGTGAATTTCTGAAAAAGTTCACAGGGAGACGCGGGTTCGAGCCCCGCCGGAGGCATATATCTTGTTTCGGCATGTTCTTTTTGTCCTTTGTCTTTTTGGTGTTGCCGTGCTCGTCAAGAGGGGATTGAGTCCAGTGAGGGTGTGCAAGTACAGATGCCTCCGTGGATTAGCGGTAAATCACCCTGGCTTTGTAGTCTGGTCAGAAGATGATGACATTGCGGGGAGACGCGGGTTCGAGCCCCACCGGAGGCATTCATTTCTCGATACATTTTTTTTGTCCTTTTTCTCTTTGGTGTTCCTTCGGTTTCTTGTTTCTATCGTGGCCGTGCTCATCAGGGCAGTATTCAGCCCGGCCATGTGGGCAGTGTGGGTGCAAGCAAGGAGGCCTCCGTGGACTAGCGGTAAATCGCTTTGGCTTTGTATCCAAAGGATGATGTGGCATTGCGGGGAGACGTGGGTTCGAGTCCCACCGGAGGCTTAGTCCTTTGTTACATCGTTTTTGTCTCTTGTGTGGGACTTAATTTTCTTCCTTGCCCATCGACTTTCGAGTGGTGGGCATTGATTGCTGCTGACAGCGTGATGAAGCCTCCGTGGATCAGCGGTAAATCACCCTGGCATTATGAACAGAGCGCTATACAGTTTGCGGGGAGACGTGGGTTCGAGTCCCGCCGGAGGCATGAATTCTCTGAGAATAGGTTTTTTTTTCTGTGTCGGTTCTGGCTTTTTGTTTTTGTTCTAACACGCTGGACGGCGGTTGGATTCTTCGTATTCTTGCTTTGTCTGAGCTCGTGCAGAAGAACATCGTTCAGGCAGAACGTTCAGGTGTCTCCTCCGACGACAGGGTTAATTCTTAATTTGCGCGCGCAGTAGCAGGACGATGAAATTACGCGGGCGAGTACGGCTTAGTACGGCTACCCCGCGCAACCCCGGGGCCCCTGAGCCGGGCCCCCGCTTCCCCGCGTCGCGTCGGGTGTATGACAATGAAATGAATGATCCCGGGATCAGATGATCGGCCCGATTTGTCGTTCGCGTCCCGCCAAGGCCACACACAACTCCGAACGCTGCAGCGGCCCGCGGCCCGCCCTCTTGTCGACCGATGGATGCACGAAGCAAGATGGATGGATAAGAAAAGGAAGAAGGACGGAAACGAGGAGAAGCAGGTGTGTGGAAATTGAAGGAGGGCGGAAGCGCGGAAGGCAAAATGACAGTGACGTCTAGCCCTTCTGCATAACAAATTGTTGTCGTGCGGGTCAGCTGGCCCGGGTGCATATAAACCCAGCCCGCCGGGGCGGAGTATAAACGCCCCCCGTTTCCTGCTCTTTACATCCACAACTCGCACAGACAAGATGGCACCGACGTTCACGCATGAATTCAAGACGGCGGCGTACAAGGGCAAGACGAGCTTCGGCACGGGCGTGTACATCGACGGCACCTTCCGCGACGGCGCGAACGGGACTACCATCGAGTTCGTTCCCTTCCTCTGTCGTTCTCGTGTGATGCTCACAACGGTGGCAGCGTTATCAACCCGACGAACGGCTCGCTGATCACGAAGATCGCGGAGGCGACGCCGGCGGACGTGGACACCGCCGTCGCGGCCGCGCAGAAGGCCCTCGAGACGACCTGGGGGCTCAACGCCTCGGGCGCGCAGCGCGCGGAGCTGCTGGGCAAGCTCGCGCGGCTCATGGAGCGCGATTTGGACGAGCTGAGCGCGATTGAGGCGCTGGATAATGGTGCGTGCCTTCCTTCTCCTGCCTTGTGTGCTCTTCCTCCTCCTTGCGGTGAGGGGCAAGTGCGGCGGGTACACACGGGCGACTGCGGGAAACCCCACACGCACGATGGGGAAAGCCACAGGGCGGGTGCTCTGTTTACCCGCCTGCGCTATTCCTTTTCGAATTCGATTCTCCCACCTTCGCTTTCTTTTATTTTGGCGACGCGCACGGACTCGGACATATACTGACGATGCTGACGACGCTTTGCAGGCAAGACGTTCGGGTGGGCCAAGGGCGTCGACATCTCGTTCAGCATCCAGACCGTCAAGTGCGTCTCTGTTTCCTCGTCTTTGCGTCCTTGCTTTCCTTCGTGTCCTCGATCTACGTTTCATCCACCTTTTTCGTTCTCCACCGCGTTTCCTGCCCCTCTTCCCGCTTCCATCTCGGCTTATCGCCTCATATGCGCGCATACATCCACCTTCCACCCTCTGCCCGCTTGCGAGCGCCCCTTCCATGCCCTTCGCTTCCCTGCCACCTGGCGCTGTGTTGCTGCCTTCGCGTTTCCCCCCTTGCCTTTACCTCATTCCCTGCGCTCTCCAGCCCTCTACCCTCGCATACATCCACCTTCCATATCCATCCATCCACCTGCCCTCCCTCCCTCCATAGGCCCGCCCTCCCTGCTCCGCCCGTTCCCTTTACTCCTCCTAATCTAATCTTTCTCCTTCCCCACCATTCTGGTGTCCTCCGCCTGCCGTCTCGTACACGCGCGTCGCGCCTACATCTCCTTCCCCACCTTCCCTCCCTCGTGCCCCTCCCTGCTCTGCGGACGCACGCGTCCGCCTTCCCTCTTCCTCTCCCCTGCTCCGTGGCCCAATGACCACGCATCCATACCCCTGCGCTGTGTGCTCGAATGACCGCGCATGCATCCGTCTTCTCCCCCGCTCCCCCCGCCTTGTGTTGCCCCTCTCTCATGCCCTACATGCGTATACGTCCGCTTCATGATACGCGCCGCGTACATCCACTTCATATGCGTATACATCCACCCCTTCTCCCTCCCCTGTTCTTCTATCTTTACTCCCTTCCTCTCCTCTTCTTCGCCTTTCGCCTTCGCCTTTGATGTGGCCTTGCCTTTCGAGCGTGCGCTAACCCACTCCCACCCACCCACCCACCCTCTGCGCAGGTACTTCGCCGGCTGGGCGGACAAGATCTCGGGGCAGACGATCGAGACGGACGAGAAGAAGCTCATCTATACAAGGCACGAGCCGATTGGCGTTTGTGGGCAGATTATCCCTTGTGCGTCCTCCGCGTCCTCATCTCGTGTTCTGTTCTTTCTGTCGTCTTCTCGTGGCATTGCGGCTACTTCTGGACGGGGGGGCTGTGGTGCTGAGGCACGAGGGGTCTGCGTGCTGAGGAGGGCGGGAGCGCGAGGGGTGAGATGGGGATTGAAGCGCGAGGCCTCTGCGGGCGTAGCGGCACTCGTTCTTTCTGCGACGCGGCTTGCCCCGTGCCGTGGAAGGTGCGCCCTCCGTCTGCGACCCGCTGGGGGGCGGACGTGACTCTGCTCTGCGCCCCAGGCGAGCGCGGGCGGGCGGCTCCTTCACGCCTTCTTCCGTTCCGCACTGCGCCCGCCTTTGGCAAAGTGACCGGGTCGTCGCGCGCGAACGGGGAGGGCAGCCTCGCCACGACGCCCCCTGCTCCTGCCCTGCGCCGCCCCCCTTCTGCTCTACGCCCCCTCCTTTCGCGCTGCACCCTCTCATCTCCTTCCCACCCCTCTCATCTCTTGTGCTTGTTCTGACGCCCTCGCGTGTGCAGGGAACTTCCCGCTGCTGATGTTCGCGTGGAAGATCGCGCCCGCGCTCGCGACGGGGAACGCGATCGTGCTCAAGGTGGGTTGACGTTTCCTCCGTTTCGTTTTCGTTTCATGGATTCTTGCGTACGCTTCCGCTTCCACCCTACGTCCTCGGGCTGGGCCTGCGCGTCCCCATTCCGATTCGCCTCCCCGAGGTTTACTTTTACTTCCACCCTACGTCCTCGTCCCGTTTTTCTCGTCATCTTCACGCGTCCCCATTCCCATTTGCCTCATTTGCCTCAAACTCTTCCTTTCATTCGTGCCCCTTGACCTTATTCGTACCCTTCCTTCACTCGCCTCGCTCTATCCCCCCGCCTCGTGTCATCCCCACCCCGCTTCTACCGTCTCTTTCGTACGCCTCTTCCTCGGCTCCACTCGTCCCGCTCTCATCGCGCCCGGCGGCGGCGGATGGTGGGCGAGGTGGCGTTGCCGTTAACTTTTCCTTTCATTTCCTTTCGTTCATTTCGGTATCCCTTCTTCCTGCCGTTATACCTCGCCTCGCTTCTTTCTATTCGTTCTACACGCCTCTCCCTTCGTCCCCGCTGCCCCCGATGCCGTTTGTCGTCCTCGTTCTCCCCCGCACTCTGTGCGCGCGCCACGTCCATCATGTCCTCTTTGTTGCTCTTCGCACCCTCCTTTTTGCGCCTCTGCCGTCCTTCATTCTCCCTCGCTTCCCGGCGGGCAAGCGACAGCTTCCCGTCTCTGGCCCTGTCGTTGCCCTCTTCTCGTCCCGCCTCTCGTTTCTTGCCTGCCGTTCCCCATCTTCCTGTCACCCTTTCCTCTGGGCGAGCGACCGATTTCCGCGCTCGCTGGCCCTGACCCGGTCTCCGCCTCCCCTTTCTCCCGCCACCCGCCTTCGACTCTTCGTTCCCCCTCCCCGCCTTTGTTCCCCTCCTCCCTCTGCTCTTTCTCCCCTTCTTCCTCGATCTTACTATTGCCGCGAGCTCGCTATTGAATGTGCCGCTAACCCCCTTCCCCGCAGCCCTCCGAATTCACGCCCCTCACGGCGCTGCGCATGTGCTCCCTCTTCGCCGAGGCGGGCTTCCCGCCCGGCGTCGTGAACATCCTCGTCGGCTACGGGCCCACGGTCGGCCAGGCGATCTCGGAGCATATGGGGATCCAGAAGGTGTGTGCTTGTCTCTTTGATTTGATTTCCTCCTTCCCATCCTCGGCACACCGCTATCGCGATTTTGCTTGTGACGAGCGAAGCTGACGCCCCGCCTGGTGTGAGGGTGGGCGTCTGCGGCGCTTTCCCTCTCACTGCACCCATTGTGGGCGGGCCGTCGTGCCTCAAGCGTCTTGCCACCGGCGCCGTGCATCTTGCGCCCTCGCTTGGCGGGCGGCGGTGTTGCGGGCTGGTTGGCGCTGAGCATCTGTGCCTCCATGCCAGCGACGCCATCGTATGGGTCGTCTCCCTGCCATCGTGCAAGTCATCTCCCCGCGCCCACGCCGGCCGTCCCCCCTACGCTCGCTGCCCATGTCCTGCCTCCATATCGTCTCTCCATGCTCACCCCCTCCTCCAGGTCGCCTTCACCGGCTCGACGCTCGTGGGGCGCAAGGTCATGGCGGCCGCGGCGGCCTCGAACCTGAAGAACGTGACGCTCGAGCTGGGCGGGAAGAGCCCGAACATCATCTTTGACGACGCGGATCTGGAGCAGGCGGTCAATTGGGCGGCGCATGGGATTTTGTGAGTTGCTGGCTTAGTCTTCTTCATCCATTCCGCCCCCGAGTGGCGGCGGCACACGTCTGCGTCTGCGGCGAGGGGAGAGGCCTCTGCGAGGCCGGGGCCGGGGACTAGGGGCGGACGAGCGGCGCGCCCCAGCCCTCCCGTTACCGTGTAGCAGCGACGACGTCTGCGCCCGACACGTCCCTGACGGCGACGTCTGTGGCTCGCGAATGGCGTTGTCCGCCCTCCCCCTTCCCCCCATCCCTCATCCCTTCCTCATTACTGATGCTCCCACCCAGCTGGAACCACGGCCAGGCGTGCTGCGCGGGCAGCCGCATCTTCGTGCAGGCGGGCATCTACGACCGCTTCCTCGAGGCGTTCACGAAGAAGACGGCGGCCATCAATGTGGGCGACCCGTTTCAGCCGGGCATCGACCAGGGCCCGCAGGTCAGC